CCTCATCAAATCCTAATGGCAGTTTTTGTTGTTGTTGTGTTTGTTATTTTGTTTGTTTGTTTTTCACAGAAATAGAACCAAAAAGTGCATTAATTTTGTATAGGACTTCAAAAAACCCTGAATAGCTAATGCAATTCTATGGTGGCAGAGTGAGGGCAAGCAAACACTAAGTCACAGGAATTCACATTTCCTGACTTCAAACTATAGTACAAAGATACAATAATAAAAACACTCTGCTATTGGCAGGAAAAATGACAAAACCAATGAAATAGAACTGACAGACTAGAAATAAATCCACACATATATGGGCAACTAATTGTTAATAAAGGAGCCAAAAACATTCAATGGGAAAAACAAAGACTCTTTAATAAACGGTGCAGAGAAAACTGGAAAGCCATGTGAAAAAGAATAAAACTAGACTGCTATCTGACACCATACACAAAAATTAATCCAGATGGATTAGGACCTGAAACAATAAAAAACACAGAAGAAAACACAGGCACTAAATTTATGGACCTTCATCTCAGAGAGATGTTTGTGAACTTGACTCCAAAGAAAAGGGAAATAGAAGCAAAAATAAATGAACAGGATACATCAAACTAAAAAACTTCCATACAGAAATATATATATATATATATATATATATATATATATATATCAATAACAAAAAGGCAACAAACTGAATGAGAAAAGATATTTGAAAATGTACCTCTGATAAAGGGCTAATCTGCTATATATATATATATATATATATATATATATATATATATATATATATATATATAACTTATATAACTCAACAAACAAACAAAACCTATCTGATTAAGAAATGGGCACAGGACCCAGACACTTTTCCAAAAAAGACAAACAGATGGACAACAGATATATGGGGGGAAAAAAAAAAAAAAAGACCTCAACATCACTAATTATAAGAAAAAATGCAAATCAAAACCACAATGAGATATCACTTCACACCTGTGAGAATGGCTATTACAGATAAGAAATAATGAGTATTGGAGAAGATGTGAAGAAAAAAGTCTTCCCACACTGTAGTGGTGCAGTCACTATGGAAAACAGAATGGAATTTCCTCAAAAATTAAGAATGGAGCTACCATGTTACCCAGCAATCCCTTTTCTCAAAAAATTTTAGCCAAAGTGTTTGAAAACACTTATTCATAAAGATATATGTACTCCCATATTGTTTGCAGCAGTATTCACCATAGTCAACACATGAAAACATGCCTTGTTCCCCTTGTGTCTTAAATGTCCTTTGACAGATGAACGGATAAAGTGTATGTGCAATGGAATATGACACAGATATAAAAATGATGAAATTTGAGACATTTGTGGCAACATGGATGGATCTTAAGAATATCGTGCTAAGTCAAATTAGTCAGATGAAAAAGTGTAAGAACCATATGATTTCAGTCATTGGGGAATATTAAACAAAAAGCAACAAATGAAAAACAAAGAAGATAAATGAACTCATAGATACATGGTAGTTACCAGAGGAAAAGCGGGTAGAAAGAATAAAGACTGTAGGGGAGATCAAATATATAGTGACAGAGCACACAATAGATTATACAGATGTCCTATTATAAAATGGTACACCTGAAATTTATATAATGTTATCAACCAATGTTACCCCAATAAATTTAATTTGAAAATTTAAAAAAGAATGGTCAAGAAATTATTTCAATATTACTAATTTACCAATATTTTAATGACCTGCTGAACATTCTCAGGAAAATAAAAGTTCCCAGCACAACTAAGTTTTATTTGTGAGAAAACAATAATCTGAAGTGCTCTGTTATGTGCACACAGAGAATATTGACTATAAAATTTATCTTTCAAGTATAAAAAAGCATCTGGGTTACAAAGAAGCATAGCTATCATCCAAAAGAATACATAAAGTTGCCCCAAAGACTTTATATCCCGAAGTTGCATAAAATTTTAAGATATTTAGAGGGTAGCAAGTGAAACAAATCAATGTGAGTTGTGAAATGTAGGGATTTCCTGTGTGAAATATTAAAATTCAAAGAAAAGATCAAAATAGAACATGGAGACACAGAGTAAAAAACAAGTCACAGCAGACACAGGACATTACAATGTCAAAAATCAAAATAAGAAATACTCAAGACGGGTTAACCTAATAGGCTTCCTTCAATTGAATCAAGTAATAGAGTTTTAAAGAGGCTTATCTGATTGATACACATCACAAATGGGAGCTCACAGGTCAAATGCAGAAATGTTAAATGTTTGGTTTGCTTGCAAGCTTTTTTTTTTTTTTTTTTTTTATCAAGTTACTTAGTTTTTTCCCCCTGTATTTCTTTAAAGGACAAAAAAGCATAGCAATTGCTATCCTTATTACAAAAGGCTTTCTAGTTTGCCACCAGTTTTACTCACCTTATTTTTACTCATTTACATTACCATCTAAACCCCTATAATCAAGTAAATTCATAATCCTATATTAGCCATCAAGCAAATTCAAGTAGTGAAAGTGACGTATGGCAGAAGGGATTGCAAGTGTGGGCATCATGAGAGAGGCACATTTGTTCATTTATTTGTTCACTTAACTATACATGTTGAGCACCTGAAAAGTGCCAGATGCTGAGCTCAAAATAAAATATAAATATTTGGGACTTCTTTTCACTGAAGGAATATGCAGTGATAGAGATGGATGTATACCAAGGTGATATGTAACAGAGAGAGTTGAGGACAAAACACTGGTGAATTTTAGAAAATCAAATGAGAAATTGTAGAGTGCTAATACATGCCGGGCTCACAAAGGATAAGGAATGCAAAGAAAGAGTGGTGAATAGTGTAAAACTGTGACTGAGAAGTTAAGTCAAATGAAGATAAGAAAAAGATGGTTCTATGATGTCAGCAGGAAATCTCTGGTGACATTTAAGAGGACGCTTCAAGTAGACTGACAAAGACAGGTTGAGTAGTGACAAAACAACATTAAAGGGCATATGAAAGAAAGAATGGGGATAGGTCAGTGTAATAACAGTTGTAGTAGTGGTGTGGTGACAGATTGGCCAGTGAAGAGACTGCATATGTTCAAAAGAGTTTTGACAACAGGCAGTTCGTAGGAATATGCATATGCTAGAATGAATTTTATCTACATGGAATAGTATTAACTTAAATTTGATATTAGAGCAAACTTTGATATCTTTTTCATAAATCATATTCCCAAGATCATTTCTTAAGACACATTTTAGGAAGGGGTTTTCACCATAAAAGCTTTTGTTATTTGCACCAAGATTCAGTGATAGTAAGCTACAAAAGGAAATCTGTCAATTCTCAATTATGTTTTACTGTCTGGTATCCCACATGTGATTCATCAGAAGTGATAGAAAGTGTTATATTTTGAAAATGTATCACAATTTTCACAGAGACATTTCATCTTGGACCAAGGCAGTCAGCAGGCATTATTCTCTAGAATACTCTACATATATAATAATCAAGGGAAAGAAAGATTAAAGCACAGATGGCATATTTGTCCATTTTATGCTATGAAGATTATGATTATTGCATTATTTTGTATGTCTACACCAAACATGGCATTTCTTCCAACTATGCCATGGGAAAATTTTAATGGCAAATACACACCCATCAGATAGGATCAAATGGTCTCAGTAATAGAAAAGAAAAAAAAATCAAGTGCATTTAGTTCTGAATTTTCATAAGATAATGTGGCCTGAGTAAAATGACATCATATTCACTGCTTTATTTTTGTAGTTGTGAAATAGTAAGGAAGAAAATAAGACCTGGCAACTGAATGTGGCTTAAAAAATAAAAACTCCTTCAGGTGAAGGGAATAAGAAGTACAAATTGGTGGCTATAAAATAGTCACAGGGATGGAAAGTACAGCATCGGAAATATAGTCAATAATATTATCATAACTCTGTATGGTGCAGGTGGGTACTTGAAATATTAGGGACACCACTTTGTAAAATATATGAGTATCTAACCACTGTGCTGTACACCTGAAACTAATGTTGAATATAAGTTACCATTAAAAATAAAAATTTAAAAACTCCTTAAACTTTATAGTACCTTAAGCAAATTGCTTGTAATTTTAAAAATAAAGTCTTAATTGGAAATGGAAACAAAACAATTCCAAATATTTTAGGAATATGTTTGACCCCATAGCTGTTCCTCTCTAGTAGACAGTCCTACATGTGGAATATGATGCAAAAAAAGTGTTTATTAGTTATTTCTTATTCAAGTGGCTTATTATACAGACAGCACTGAACTCGGAAAAGCTTTACCTATATTTACTGATAATTAAGAGATGTTGCTTATTGGACACCAAGACTAGAATATCCAAATATATCTGTCATATTTGTTGTGTGTTTTGTTTATTCAGTGGTACAAAATCAACTGTGTTTTCACTCCATAGTATAAGGGAAGAAATCCCAATTGCTTCATTCTTGAGGGCTTAGTGTACAAGTGCAATGTCAGTAACCTTGTAGTACACCCTTGAGCCTTTAGAGCCCTTTAGGAGTGAGTCTGCATATGCATAAACACCTCCACACCCACCTGCTCCTCCGCCTCCATTATCATAACCAGCAAGGACCACAACCAGCCAGAGGTGAATCCCTGTTTTCCCATCTATTGTTTGTTCTGTCAGGTTTAGGGATTTCCAAATGCCCAACCATCTTCCTGTGATTATGACTAAAACTGTGGTTCAAAGTAAGCTTAGCAGAGATGTCTCCCTCTCTTTTATCTTTATAGAGCTTGCAGTTAAACATAAAGCTGAGAGATTTTCCTATTGATATAAAAAGCATTTATTACAGAACTTAACCACCAATCAATCCTACAGCTTATCTACACATATTACAATTCTGGCTGGAAATAAATAAAAATGAGCAAGGGTTCGTGTCTGATATCAGAATCAGCACTAAAAATCCAGTTTTGTTAGGAACTCCATCTTGAAGACAGGAATTTATGTAGTACTCAAGCAAAAACTGTGTGACATGCAATCTACTTACCCCTGCAAGGCTTTCTCTCCAAACCAGTCTCCTTTGCCTAAAGTCCTAAGAAAGACTGGGTCTTCACTTGGTGAGTCTTCTCGAGTGACATTGACCTACAAAGAGAAACAATGAAAGACTGTATCCACTGCATACTCTGGGTGAGCACTACTTGATACTGTTAATTTCACTTTTCTTTTTCTTTTTGAATAACTTTTATGAGAAATACAAATGGGCCAAAGAAATGACCTTCAAATATTTTTATTCTTTCAATTTGTTTTTAAGAAATAGTAAATTATTCAAAAATTTGAATTCCATTCAATCCTCATCCTTATCCTATTTCCTACTTCATATGAGGCAACCATTATAGTAGCTTTAGTGAGCATTCCTTCCATCCTTTATTGTGTGTTTTTATATGCATGTGTGGTTTTTTAAATACTGTATATAAACAGCATAACATGCTATGTATAATTCTGTAACTTACATTTTTATCTTAACATTTTAATTATTATTCCATGCTTCTAGATTAAATAGAGTTCATCTGTTGCCTTCTTCTACTGGGTACATATGCCAATTTATCAATTTCCATATCCGTGGACATTTATGTTGTTTTCTTTCTTTTTTCTACAATGAACATCTTTCGCCACATCTTTACATGCACATACCATTTTGTCTAGGACATGCCTATCTCCTTTAAGAAAAATCCAGCCTTGCCCTGGCTGGGAGAGTCAGTTGGATAGAGTGTTATCCATACACCAAAGAATACAGATTTGATCCCCAGTCAGGGTATTTATGGAGGCAACTGACCAATGTTTCTCTCTCTAAAACCAATGACAGCATATCCTCAGGTGAGAATTTTAAAAAAGAAAAAAAGAAAAACCCAGCCTTCATTCAAAAGCCAGCCACATTTTCATGAAGGTCTCCCCGCAGGTCTCTGACTATGGTCTTCAGGTCCTCACAACCCACATTCACAGAATTTCTTTTTTAAAAGACACAGAAATTACATATATGTATTTTTAAAGCATAACAAATAATGTGCTCTTCAAAGAAATAGATATTTCTTAAGCATTCTCTATAATTTAGAATAATCACTTAATAAAGTGCTGTAAATTGTTTCAACAGAAAAAACTTCCTTACTAACAAGTTATCTCAGCCCATATAGATTTGTGATTTGAGTAATAATCCACAGAAGGGCAGCAATGCAATAAGTTTTACCATTATGTTAATTCAATATCCCTCCAGCTCTACTGATATTCATAACACTGGCTATGTGCCACCCAGAAAAATTAGGTGGTAGCTAAAATACATATGCCTGGAAAATGGAGTAAAATGAATTTCCTGAGGCAATGACAGACGCTTAAACACATTTAAATATACTCGTACTATGCTTTAGATTTTTGAATTTAGAGATTGGATGTCAAAGACCAGAATTTTTATATAAGTATTAAGAAGGTCTGTGAAAAGTGTAGAGAATTCGATTATTATTCTCCACTGATCCATTTGAATACTCCTCCATACAGAGTTTCAAACCACAGGAATGAGATTTTTAACAATCTTACCACTGAGCTATATAATAGAGATGCTCATTTGTATGTTGACAAGGCTTTTACAGATGTGGATGGAAATACACTAGTCCAGTGATTCTCAAACTTCAGTGTGGTGTGTGTGTGTGTGTGTGTGTTTAAAATAAAGGTTCTGATTTATAATTTAGGAATCTGAATTTCAAAAGTTTAATGTAGGTGATTTCGATGTACATGTTCTACAGACCTAGCTTTGATAAACATAGATATATTGTTAACTCTCTAAACCTCAGTTTTCTCATCTGCACAAGGAAGCAATTCAATAAAATCATCTCTATCCCTCCTCCTGGCTGTTAAAAAAAAATCAAAGACTGATGTATACTATAAGTTAAGATCATGGATTCAAAATCAGCTATAAAAACATATTGTATAACTCCACATTTGCCATTTGGCTAATAAAATATATTAGAAATTCTAAATTGCAGAATTATCGAGTCAATGGAGAAATTTTAGTATATCTTGAAACATTCTTTAAAAAGATGTTACTGAATTGATCTAACACAAAAAAGTGAACCATCTACAGAATAAACAACTTTCTGTTTATATGTTAAACATTAGGAAAAATCTAACTGGATAAAATTATAATGTGAAAAAAATAAGCACCTCAAAGAGCAAGAATAAAGCTTTCTTCTAAAGTGTTAATATCCAGATTTTTCTTTGTATGCATGATTAATCATTCTAAATATGAAGATACCAATTATGGATATTTGAATCTTTAATTCTGAAGAAATGTCAAAGTAGAGAAAGTTAAATAAACTCTCTACCCTTGGCCTGTATATTATCATTTTCATTTAAACCACAAAATACTTTCTGATCCTGTAAAATAATGCTGTAAAATTATCTAGCTATGGAGCCTTCTATTTGAATCCATGCTACCTGGCCACCTTGTCAAAAAATGAGAGAGGAGAGGTCTAATATATTCTTACTCCTCCCCTATGGAATCCCTATGGTGCTCCAAAATATTACCAATGTTATTGGTTCCCGTGGTGTAATTTGAATGCCACTTTTATTTAGGATTGCTATGAAACTCCTAAAACAGCAGCACTAATGCACCTGTTTTCAGCTGAAACTGGTTACAAACACAGCTTCTTTTAGGCAGTGCTGGGAATTTACAGTAACAGGGTATTCTCATAAGCCTGTCAGAAATTCATCTTACCTGATAAACCTATCATTCCCTGATAGCAAAGAATTAGCAATGTGATTAAGAAAAAATACACCCAAATCATTCGGGTGAAAAGTCTTCCTGTGACTAATGGAATCACTTATATCCATGAAGATTTTCAATTTCCATGATTCTTTAGTCGGCACTAAGAAATAAAACAGTAAATGGAAGGCTCTTCAGCTTTCCCGGAGTCACTGAGAAACCCCAGGTCCCCTTCTGCAACATTGTTGCTCGCCCAGTGCTTACCTTTCCTTTGCTGATGATAAAGAAGGTGTCCCCTCTTGCACCTTGCCTGATGATGTACTCCCCATTTTCATAGTGGGTCTGAAAAACAGAAATAGCAACAGAAGAAAAACACATTAGGAAAGGAAAAATTCACCAAACAACCTGACCTCTTCCAATACCAGCTCCTCTAGGACTTTCACTCAAACCTAGAACCCATCGTTGTTTAAGAATAACTACTAGTCAATGTACAAATTAATTGCAGAGAAGTCCTTTCTATCATATTCATTTCTAAACTATTTTGTTGATGCCATTTTTTTCCAGATGATTACATTCATATCTTTAAATCCAATCATGTTAAGAGTTTGATAAAAAAAAATCCTTTTCTCCCATCAACTGAGCATGAAATAAAACAGCAGAACTGCTAATTAAACGGGTCTTCTGTATTATTTTGTTATTCTCATTTAGCTTTAGTATTCTCTTAAGGATGGCCTTTTTATTTTTCCTGAGAAATTACTGTGGCATCTGAAGATCTTCATTTTGAAATCATGGTGACTTTTAGTATGGGTTCGATGGCCCTAGTTACTTTTTAAGGCACTGCTTCATGCTTTACTGTCCTTGCTTCAGCAATTTAGGTTTGGCTCTGTCGAACAGAACGTCTTAATTTTATGGACTGATGTCTGGCCCAGCATCTGTGAGCTCATAAACTACCGAATGAGGAGCAAAATAAGGCAGCAAGAAGATGCTTGCTGTCAGTGTGTCAGTATTCTGACCCTGTCACAGTCCCTGGGCTCATTCCCAGGTTTAAGATAATTCCTGAAATAGACAGGACTAATTTCTTTAAGGGGACGTGGAAGAAAGTGTATTGCTGTGTCATGAGGTATAACAGGGAAATGAGAGCTGTGCCATCTGCCTTCTTCTCTGTATCTTAGCAAGGGAGCCATATTTGGGGAAAGGAAATGTTATTTTGTGCACTCCTTAGGAAAGAGATTTTTGTGGTTTGCATGTGACTTGGCTGTGATTTGTTTTTACACTTCAATAACATGTTTCTGAATACTCTGTGTACTCTTAAAATTGCCTTTCATTCATTAATACTTGTCATTGAGAATAGCCATAATTTTCTTAATGTTGAAAATTAACATGCTACCTAATCTGTGTAGGATTTTTTGCTCAAACACAACTCATTGTCTTATAAAAAGTTTTAAAATTAGGATTATAGAATGCACATTCATCAACTGATTTATTTCATTTAACAAGCAGCTATCTACTAGTATGTTCCATTTTCTTATCTTGCTTCTTTGAAAAGAGATCTGTATGACATAGAGATTTAAAGAACAAATGGTGATTTCTACTTTCATATATCAATTCTCAGTGTCTCTGATCAGGTCTGATGATGCAAAGATGAGTCAGACAAAAATCTCATAATAGCGCCGTCTGGTACATCTTTCTTGGATGGCAGCAGTGTGATATAGCTGCATTGTCCAATCTGGCAGCCTCTAGCCAAATGTGGCTCCTGAGCTGTTGAAATGTGGCCAATGTGACTAAAAAGCTGAGTTTTTAAGTATATTTAATTTTAATTAATTTACACTCCAATGTTCATATGTGGTCAGTATTGACTATAGCAGATAGGGCCAGTAGCAGCTAACGTTGACAAGCCTGACCTAGCCTCTATGTCATCTCTGTTAAATGCAGTCAGGAAGAAGCCATGTGGATGAGAAGGTTCTAGCTGAGCCCAGCCTCGGCATTTGAGTGTCCACACCTAAAGCTTCAAATATCTTGGAGCACAGACAAGTCATTTCTATCACCTCTGAATTCCTGCCCCACAAAATCCGAGAATAAAATGGCTCTTACTCTGAGCTACCAGGTTTTGGGGGAGGTTTGTTATGCAGCAATAAATAACCTCAGCAGGCAGACAGAGGGGCTGTAACCCAGTACCTGGCTCCTGCCTTCTCCTGGAAGCTCTGGCTTTGATTGGTTCTAGAGTTCAAGCTCATCAGCTGCTGTGGTAAAAGATGATGTCTTCCCTATCTTTGGGGTCTCAGCTGAGAGGGGAGGAAAGAGCCTGGAACACAGCCCAGTCAGAATTTTATCCCTAGCATGGTGGGCAAAGCTCATTCGTGACCCTTACCTTGTGGAAGCTTCACAATAACCCAGGCAGGGGTTTCAATAGAGAAGCCAAAGCAAACACAGTGACTAACTAGCCCAAGGTCATATCATTAATAAGAGGCTAAAGTGGCACTCAATGCAGGTACTTCTTTCATGTCCCACGGTGAACTGTGGTGGAGTTAGTGAAACATATGGGCCCTTCTTCTCTACTTTTCCACCCCCGCCTATGGCTGAAGGGTTCATGTAGGCAATCACTAGTATCTTTTACATTGCAAAGAAGAGATGCGTCCAAGTCACCTGACAGTGATAAACCAATAGACTGCCCCAACTCCCTGATTGAAAGTAAAAGAAAATCCAACCACAACCAGCAAAACGGGAAGGTACTAACAAAACAGTTAGTAGCATCCAAAGTTGCTGGATCCTGGAGTTAAATAGACCTTAGCCTCCCTCTTGTCCTCGCAGCTCTATCTGTCACACATTTGCTTCTCATGATGGTCACAGTGTGCCAGGATGACATGGGCTCCCCTCATGTTCATACCAGCTGGCACTTTTGTGATTTTAGGTCCTTCATCCCACAGAGTAAAATGTTTAACAGGAATATCTACAGACTATTAATTCATGGAAATTATCTAACCATCTTCTTAATATTATCTGATAGGGTTTTGTAACTTGACACCCACAATTGCCACACCAGTTATTTTAGCATACCTACTCAGTTCCGAGATGCATAAACCCACAAATTCAGGGTTCCAGAGAAGCACCTACGGAACAATGGCCAAAAGCAGCCCATGTCTGGGAAAGATAATATTAATGGTGTTATGAGATCATAATGACTGTGCTATCCTGAAATGTCCAATTACACCTGAGGGGAAGATGATCACACATGCTGATTCTTCAAGATTCTCTATAATTATGTTACGCAAATGCCAGCAGGTTCACTGTTTTTTGAAGGTCACTTTGCAGCTCTACCATCTCCTTATTTCCAATTAAAGGAAAATATAGAGTATAGAAAGGCAAGAAACCTTAGCAACTCTTAGACATCTCCATCCTCATCTTCTCCCATTCTTACCATCATTTGTTCTGTTTTAGAAACACTGGCTCTATCTGTGCCTTGTGCTTACCAGGCTGGCTCCCTCTCCAGAACTTTGCATTCACTAGGCCCTCTATCTACAATACCCCTCCTCATGATATTTGTCATTATCTTGTCCTTATTATCAGGCCTCAAGGAGACCTTTCCATTTATAATGTGCCCTTCACCCCCACTCATTTTCTATCCTACATTTCTACAAGGTGTTTTGTTGTTGTTGTTGTTGTTGTTGTTGTATTATGAGGCTCTCCAAAGCTGTGTGGTTCTATTCTGAGTGATGCAAACCAGAGCACAATGGAGCTCCTGTGAGAAAGGCCTATTGCACCCGTCATGATTTAAAATTATCCTTTTATGTTTGCTGTTTCTGACCGCACCCCTGTCACCTGATGCTTAGAGGGCTGAGGAGATGTTATATTTATTTCCATTGTTCCACTTAGAATAATCTCTTGCACAAAATAGGCATTCAATATAAAATCTAAATTAAGGACAGATTTGGTCCAAATCCCTTTGTTTTAAATGGGGAAGAGGAGTTACAAGTGATAGATTAGATGGGTGGATAGAGAAAGAAACCTGACAGTGTATCTAAATGTAAGTAATGCATCCCCCCAAGATAATAATTTGGAATAATATTTCTGCTACTTTTGAGTTAAAAAAGCCAAAAGCCAACTTTGTTTTTGCCACTAGAAGAAAAATGGGTATATGTTTTATTGTTCATGTGTGTGTATTTGTATTCTCAAAATTCAACATTAATATACATTTCCAGTTAAACTTACAATTCGCACACACTTGCTGACATTTGGCAGAAGGCTTATTCCAATATTGATTATGGCTCCTAGAGGGCTTGGAAGTGGCCTCTTGGTAATATGTATAATTCATTTTCATTTTATCAAATCAGACTCATAATTTTTAGATCAAACATATGGGTGATATTGGTTAATAATATATAGGTGCAAGTGTACCATTCTATGATACATTATCTGTATATTGCATTGTGTGCCCACCACCCAAAGTCAGATCTTTTGTCATCATATATTTGACTCCCTTTATCCTTTGCTACCTCTCCACCTTCCTCTCTAGAACCCACATACTGTTATCTGTGTTTATGAGCCTAAAAATTCCACTAAAGAACTATTAGAAACAATAAATATAGTAAAGTTGCAGAAATCCATGTCCAAAAATCCATTGCATTTCTATATACTAACAATTAAATTTCAGAAAAAGAAATGGTAAACACACACACACACACACACACACACACACACACACAATTTCTTTTGTAATTGCAAAAAATGGCTAAAACACTGAGGAATAAACTTAACAAAGAATGCAAACATGCTAGATTTTAACTGGTGATTTTATTTTCAACTCCCCATTCTTTTTTTAAAAAAAATATATTTTTTAATTGATTTTATACAGAGAGGAAGGGAGAGAGATAGAGTTAGAAACATCGATGAGAGAGAGTCATCGATCAGCTGCCTCTTGCACACCCCCCACTGGGGATATGCCCGCAACCAAGGTACATGCCCTTGACTGGAATCGAACCCGGGACCCTTCAGTCCCCAAGCCGACGCTCTATCCATTGAGCCAAACCAGACCCGGCTCAACTCCCCATTCTAAAATAACCTGTACTAAATGTCATTTAATATATAAAAATTAAAATACACTATATCATTCTGAAGTAAATTACCACCTTCATTATTTCAGTCAGAAATTATACCTTTATAGTTAAGGATTTTTTTTTTTTTTTAAGTTTAAGCTTGGAGTTATCTTTGTCTTTATTAAATCACAGAACATCTATTAATTGACACTGCCCTAATGATTACAGCACAGTGGTAATTGCTACCAATTTAAAAAACAGCTGCAATAAGTCTGAACCACTTTAGTGTGCCTGAATATCTACTAAATTTTT